GTGGAGGTCGGCTATAAAACTTTGTGCTAGGGTCGTGGGTCGGTCTAGACTTGGGGTTTGGGGTCCAGGGCTCGGGGTTCAGGGTTCAGTGCGGTTATAGGACTTAAGGTTTGGAATTTTAGGCTAGTGACTATCAGTATCAGGGGCTAGTGACTAGTGAATTTGCTGCCAACATCACATATTTGGAGCATTGCATAGTACTTCATACCTCAGCAAAATGCGGGCGAACACAATATTGGGCTGCACACAAGAAGCTCAAAAGCACACCACATGGCGCTAAAGTTTAAGGCTCTTTCATTCGAGCAGTCGAACGATGGAACTCGTGTTCGAGGACTGTGCGCACCATGACAACACCGATAAGGTTTAGCTGCAGGCAGAACATTGTACAGGGCATCGGGTTCTCAGTGTGGGGTTCGTGCTACACTGCAGCATGTGATGTAGCTCACGGCGCGTCTTCACATGCGACCTCTGCACATGTGTTGAACCCCCGGCCTACACTCGAACACCTCTACGCTGCGGTGAGTGTAGACTCACGTCCCTCCAGCTTGCGGAAAACTAAATAGACTTCTCAGCAAGGCCAACGACGGATTAACACTTGTCAACACCACCGCTCAGGATTGATGAAGCTTGTACATCATAAATTTAGACACATCTATGTCTATGACTAGGATCCTTATTGTAATATAAGAACCCATCCGTCTCTGAACATGGCCAAACTTGCCACATCTGCCTACTGCGACGCCGCTTTCGCGGCCGCTTTGGCCTTCTTGGAAGCTTTCGCCGGGCGTTTCTCATTTTGGATCCTCGCAAGGCGGATAGAAAGTTGATCGCAACTCGAGATTCTAATAAAGCAGCATATACTCCACCAAGGTACAGCCCGTTCGCCACCCGGATGTGCTTCTTGAAGGCCTCCACGTAGGCGGCAGCCTGAGACCACGAGACAATGACAGACCACACGATAGAATTCGATAGAACACAATGCAACGACCCACCGAGCCACCCATACCCACCCACGCCCACGCCCACGCCCACACCCACACTCACCCACACCCACCCACACACCCGCGCCCGCGTCCACACCGGCGCCCACACCCACACCCACACCCGCACGCATGCACACACACACACACACACACACACACCCACACCCACACCCACACCCACACCCACACCCACACCCACACCCACACCCACACCCACCCACACCCACACCCACACCCACACCCACACCCACACACACACACACACAGAGGGCATTAATTTTGACACCAAGAAACCGATAGCAGCACCGTCTGCACATCTGATGCGAGGGGCGATGTGCCAAGGCTGTTCATTGACTTCCGGCTTTGTCCGATGCCGGCCGAGGCATCTTGAATCAGCTTGATAAGCTCCGTTTGGCTCTCAAGGATCTCAAGCCTCAGAAATGTTCAATGAAAAACCCACAACACTGCACACTTCTCAGATGACAACAGATACTGTAGGTGAACCCATGCATACAGGTAGCTCACCACAGACTGTCGTCGCCTGTCCCTGAGCACTGTTGGCTGCAGCAACCCAGTTCTTCACAAAGCCTCCCATGTCTTCACCACACACGTGCAGCTCAAGGTCCGATCCCTGCGCACATTCGCGATCATGGAAGACAAAGATACACTAGCCGAAATTTCAACTAATTGTTTGTCATTATAAAATGTGTTTTGTATACACCGAGAAACGTGCGGCTTCGCGGGTCGGGCTTTCTTGGTTGGTGGATCAGGAGTCGTGTTGTCCGAGCCCTGCTCAGCATTGGTCCCCGGCGTGGCATTCTGATTGTGATTTCTCCTTCCTCCCTTCGGTGGGGGCGGCTTCGGGTTCGGCTCCTCGCGCGGAAGGCTGTTGGGCAGGGGGACCTCACCGTCCAACATGGAGCACACCGACGCGGCAAACGAGGGGCTGCAGCCCATGTCCACGGCGATTTCGTCCTGGGGTGCAACGCACAAGAGATAAAGTTTTAAGTCATGGTTTGTGTGTGGGAGGGATGGAATGGCAGACTCATATGTCAGCTTAGTCACGAGCGTTCGCTGTGTCAGAGTTCGTTTCTGCCGGCCGTAATACAAAAAGGTTTCCGTTCCAGGATTGTTGCGGCACGTCGATGTCCTGCAGCCAAAGGTACAGAAAACAGTTGAGCACTCAACAAGAACTAAGAACCCACTGTCCCGCGTGGCTCCAGTCGCCGGCGGCTTATGAACTCTAACGCCTTGGTGGCGTCGCCATTGTGGAACTCGACAATATCCCCCCCAAAGATAATATTCGCCTGCCGCAGGTTTTTATAGGGTTGAGGGGTTTAGGGCTAAAAGGGTTAGGGTGATATATAGGGGTTTATAGGGTTTTTCATAAAACGGGTTTAGAGGTTCTGGGTCAGGGTTTGCAAGGCAGCGTCCATCTAGGATCGAGTTGGTGACGAAGCCTGTCGTGCAGCACATAGTATATGTAACTGTAACTATAGATCGGGTAGCACAATATAAACCTATATATGACTTCACGGTCTACCGTCTTGGTGTATCCAAGCCCTTGCAGTACGAATCGGAGTTTTGCTGAAAGCTGTATTATTGAACGCCCTCAGTGTTGTAGATGTTTCGGTACCACAAGTATTCGAATCTAGTTGCAGCACCGAACCCAAACGATTCCTGGCCTTGATCCTCATCCGTTTCCTCGCGTTGGCGCCTGAAGCGCATGGCGCACTCCAGAGCGAGAGGCTGACCTTTGTGGCTGAGGAGCAATGGGAGGGTAGGCTTGATTTTGGGGTTTAAGGGTATCCGGTACATATATAGAGGTGGTGTCTACGACGTGTACATAGGTAGGATCAACGACAAATTCGCGTAATGAATAATCACCCCAGTCACAACCCGTCAACACATACTTCTGGAAGGCAGCCATCCTTTTCGGACCACCCTCGTTCCACGCTTTTTTCAATTCGTCGGCCCCCTTGTTCTCTTCACAAAATCTCTTGAACCCCTTCCATTCCGAGGGGTGGGACGAGGAGTTTACCCTGTCCGGCGAGGGTGCTGGTGGTGCTGTTGCTGCTACGATCGCACTTGGTGGTGGTGGTGCTGCTACTACCGGGCTTGCCGGCGGGGGTGCTACTGCTACCGTGCTTGCCGGTGGGGGTGCTGTTGCTACCGTGCTTGCCGGTGGGGCTGCTGCTGCTACCGCGCTTGCCAGTGGGGGTGCTGAATCCTCGATGATCTGGTGCTTGTGCGGGACGGGAGTCGCATTGTTCGCGGGGGCAGGCACGGCGACCCCCTGGGTGGTCTGCGCCACGATGCTTGACATCGACTGCGTAAGCTCTGCCAGTTTGGCAGGATCCATCGTGCCACCTTGGGAAACAGCTTGGCTTAGCAAAGTCGCTAGCACGGTCGTCAGGGCTTCCTGGTTTGCTGGGCTGGGTGTAGCCTTCTCGCTGGGTGTAGCCTTCTCGGGGACCGGTGGTGGGGGCACACGTGTCGGCACAGCGGGCGGGCCCTTCGCGACTACCGGTGCATTGATGGAGCCTTTTTCCGATGATGTGACCACACCTTGGTTCGAGGTGACTGGTTGCAGTCCTGCGGAAGCGGCGGCATTGACCGTGTCTGCTTGCGTAGCCGGAAAGGAGTCCGTGGGTTCTGAGGGCACGGCGGTGGGTGACGGTGCCACAGCAGAAGGTGGGGGTGCCGGCACTTCTGTGGGTGACGGTGCCACAGCAGAAGCTAGTGCTTCGGTGATCGGCGGTGCAGCGGGTGCTAGCACTTCGGTGATCGGCGGTGCAGCGGGTGCCACAGCAGAAGGGGGTGCTGGCACTTCTGTGGGCGACGGTGTAGCAACAGAAGGGGCTGTTGGTACTTCTGCGGGTGACGGTGTCACGGAAGGGGATGTCTGCACTTCTGCGGGCGATGGTGCCACGGAAGGGGACTGCTGTGCATCGAAGGCCGGAATGAGTGTGAGAGGGCTTCGGCACGCCTTGCAACGTTCGCCTAGCTGCCTCACTTCCTGGGGCTGGTAGAACATCTGGCACAGCGCACACACACCGAGCTGCGAGGCAGCACTTGACACTGATGCCGTTGATGAGGCCGGTGGCGGCGGGCACACGGTGGGCGGTTGCGGTGGAACCTGTGACGGCGTTGTTGGTGGGGGCTTCGGTGTTGGTGCTGGCGGGGTCGTTGGGTGTGTAGGGGTCTGTGCGGGTGTTGGCGGTACCGGAGTTGCTTGCGTGGGGGCCGGTGGTGGTGTTGTTACCGGGGCCGTTGTTGTGACAGGTCTTGTTGGTGTTGGTGCTGTGTGGGGTGTTGTTGGGGTCGGTGTCGCAGGCGTTGGTGTTGCGGGTGATCCATTCCCGTGTGTGCTGTCTTCCCCATAGCTGTCAAGCGAAATAGAGCTCGTCGATCGGAAGCGGTTCCAAAACGACTTGTATTTCGTCTGTTCCTCCTCTGAGATCACGGGCAGCGCGTAGAGGTCCGCTGGGTCCTATATGTTTGCTTACAACAAACATGAGATTTAGGGTTGCAGGCATTCATATAAGATTTATCAGTGTACCAGCGTCTTGTGAACAGATCACTTGGATATGCATATTGTTGTTTGTCGCATCCAGTTAATATAAGGCATCAGGGGAAGTATGGTTGTGGATTTAGTACGGACAGACTAGAGCAGAAAATGAGGCCCTCAAACCCGACTAGGCACTACATAAGCTCCTATGTTCAGGTTTAGGTATCTTAATTGGGACGTTTTGAAAGGATTTACAGACCATAGTAAGACACCTCGTAACAACTCCTACACCCCTAAACTCCTGGCCAAAAGCAAGAAGAACTCGAATCGGGGTCCTGTGGGAGTGCCGCTGTCTTAGCTTTACCCTTAGCAGTAGCCCTTTTCGCCTTGGGTGCAGCCACCATAGGAGGGGAGGCAAGATTGGCTGCCGAAGTTGTCGCATCGGTCAGCGCCTGCCCGGTACGAACGGCTAAGCAATAGTCCATGTATCGGGGTAGACTACTTCATTACAGGAGGTTACCGACCTTTGCATCTAGTGCAAACCTGGCCTTAGTCACTCGACCCGGCAATGTAGCATCGTCGAACGATGGTGCATGCACAAGACTTGACATAGCACGTAGTGGAGCCTCCGTTGGTCCTGCCCTTCCAGCCGCATCATAGAGCTGGTCCAGCTCTTGTTCCAAACAATCAGGTACTGTTGTAGCACTGGTCGTCACAGAAAGGCTTGAATCCAGTCTGACCGGGGGGGCATGAACGGCAGGGCATGGGGTCTCCACTCTCAGAGGCGGCAAAGGTCCTGGCACAGGCTCAAGAAGCCCCGTCTTAGGTTGAACCTCTGACAGGCCGCAAAAACCTTTCTGGGTAGCATCATCATCAGCCGGGAACACAAGTAGTGCGGGCCGGCGCACGGGTGCTTCCGGCAGCGGGGGTGCCTTAAGCTCGGGGGTTGACTTTGGGGTCGGCAACACAGCAGGAGCTGCCGGCGCCACGGGCGCTGCGGGAGCTGCTGCAGCTGGACTGGCACTGGCGGAAGCAGCGCTGCTTCCTTCAGGCTCCGTCTGTGATGGTGCACCGCTGATGCCAACCATCATTGCTGACCTAGGCACAGTTTTTAGCTGCTATGGTACTGGGCTATCTGTACACGACAATTGCTTATGCTGAAAAACTCGCTGGTTCTAGAAACATAAGCGAAGCGACATCTTGGCTTTCACCATATTCTGCTGCTCTTCCGTTAACCCAAGCTTTCCAAGCAAAGCAGCATCAATCGTCGAAGCGAGCTCCTCGGATAGAGGTCAATGACTATAGGTTTCGTTATAGAGTTAAGTCTGGGGCGAAAGGGGGGCGGAGCGGGTGAACGCTATCGATCAGTAGAGTCGCACTGGCGGTAGCAGTAGCCGCAGCAGCGGCTGGCTTGCTCGGAGGAGCTTTCTTGGCCATTGCGATGGCCACACCCGTCGTCGCAAGCGCACGGGCAAAACTGAAAAGCCTCTGAAACCAACAATTTGCCACGGCGCAAGCTTCAGAGCCCTGACGGGCACAGCAACTGTCGGCAGCATCGGGTGTGTGTTGCATCTGTCCACAGACAGAAACCAGCAGCATAGTTATGGGTTTCGGCCAGCTTTAATTGGGATTCTACAGGAAGCTCTCTTGTATGTTGAAAAGGACTATTTTACCGCACTTAGGACAGCTTTTGGACAGCTTTTGGACAGCTTTTGGACAAGGGATCCTGGTACCTTCCGGGGCCGTAGCGGGAGCCGTCGAGACCGACTCAAGTACAATTTTTCTCGTATCGTAGTAGTTACTGAGCGTTCACGGTCCATTCGCAGACATAATATATTGTCTTCACAGGTAGAGCAAGGCTTTGTGCAGGCATTCGGGCTGATGTTTGTCCACTCGTGCGCGCTAGCAGCCTCCCCCGGCTATGGTTTTGATCGACTCTAAATCATATATAGCTCGCGGCCCTCCAAACAAGACTGCTAGGGGAAGTCCGACGGCCACGACTTCGGGAGAGCAACTTTGCCGCTGTCCAGCATGAAGTGAACCACGTCCAGCAGGTCAGCCTTGGCAGATTTCGTAGGGAAGATATGATTGGTGGCTACGTACCTCAACAAGATATCATAGGTCAAGTGCGGTAAGTAGGTACATACGGAGACAAGTTACGTCCTCTTGCCAGTCTATCGGACTGCTGAAAAGCAATCGGATCTGAGCATCCATGTCATAGGTGGCATCACCGGGCATCGCGAAGCTGTTCAAGTCGATGGCATCTTTGCAACCACGGCAGTCGGTTCCCATGGCCTAAGTTAACCAGCTAGCGCAAGGCTTAGGGTTATATAAGGGTTTTAAGAGGTTCAAGATTGAGGATTTAGGGTCTTATATACACAGGGGGTTTGCAGCTCCGAGCGAGCCAATGAAGTTTCTCGAACTGGGCTGTACTGACAGGGTTGACATCTTCTGGGTGTACAAGTCTGGGGGTTAGTGCTCAACACGAGGGGTTCGATCTGACAATAGGCTTATCGAGCCTCTATCGGTGTTGGTTGCCAATTTCTCAGAGCAAGCAGAAGGTTCATGCACAGGTGCCTTTGTAGCTCGATAGCCACAGAGAGAGAGAGAGAGAGAGAGAGAGAGAGAGAGAGAGAGAGAGAGAGAGAGAGAGAGAGATAGCCACAGAAAAAAAAAGAGCGGGAGAGGGAGAGGGAGAGGGGGAGAGGGGGATAGAGGGAGAGAGGGAGAGGGAAAGGGAGATCGAGATGGGCAGGGGACGAATACTAGGAATACAAACACGTTTCGTATTCGTATCTCCTTCTATCAAGAGAAAGAAAGAGGGCGAGATAGAGAGAGAACGAGAGCAGCTCATTAATAACTAATGCATCAACATCAGAGAGGCTGTTGCTGACAGAACGAACCATAAAGAGGCATAGAAAGAAAGGGAGGGAGGAAAGGCAGGATGAAGGAAATAATGCGTGCAAAAGAACATCTTTGGTTCATATTTTTAGAGCGAGTGAAAGGGACAGAGCGATATCACCGAAGCGACTCGCAAGGGAGGGAGCACGGGATTTCAACAAAAGAGACAATCAGATCAGAGAAGCAGAGGGAGGGAGAGAGGGGGAGAGAGAGGGAGAGAGAGACAGAGAGGAGGCCTGAGACAGACGGTGTGCTGTCCGTTCCGTAGCTTTGGGAGGCAAGCTTCGAGAATATCGGGTTTAGGGTCGAAGTGTTTGGGGCCAAAGGGTTTCGGAAGTTTGGGAAGTTTTAACAAAGGTTGTTGAAGGTCTTGTGAGTGTTTGAAATGTATTATGGTTTAACAAGGTGCTTAGGTCGAGGGTCTATAGAGGGAAGGGAAGTTGGGAGGATTAGTTTTGCTTTATTGGGACCTTAACTTACAGAACCGACAAGGCATCTGGACCCAGCCTCGCACCCGCCCAGCCATACATCGATGACGTCCTTCGCGAACTGCGTGGTGTATCTCCTGAGACATGCTCTGCAAGCTAGCTACCTAAAACCCTAAGCTCCTATATAGCTGTGAATCCTAAATATGTCAAGGGCCATCCTTATCATAAGCCGAGGAGCTGTGTCTTCTTCAGCTCGCTCGTGCCGGTGACAGTCCGCTTGCCACTCTCCTGAGACAAAGACAGTTAGAGTACTACCTGAGGTTTCCCCACAGTAATGACAACCTAAATCTTAAGTAACTGCTGTTAGGAAACATTGACGGCCCGCTTTACAACGTGTTTCTTCACCTCCTTGCTGTGCTGGGTGTGAGCAGCACGGGTCTTGGACAGTCGACAAAACTCCTGGAGTCAGCGCTTGGCAGTTGCACTGGTGATGTGTACTTTAGGGTTTAAGGCTGCGGTCCTTGATGTTTGCGTGCTGCGAGTAGAGATAAGTCGGCTTCGGAGTAGGCGCTCCAAAATTTCCCATCTGAATTTGGCAGCGATAAACCTTAGGTTCATCTAGAAATCTAGATTGCCGCTTCATCCGTATCGACATGACCTTAAAGCTGGTTCATATACTCAGAGTCGTACTGGGAACTCCTGTGCCATATCCTTAAAGCGAGGCAAGCTTTCAAGACCTCCCGTTGTTCTGTGCACCGGCTGCTCCAGAATCACGAAAACCCTCATTGCCCGTGCCAGACGGAACAGGAGGAGGCTCCTTTATCAACGGGGTTCCAACATTGTGTGTCGTGTTCACGACTAGTTAACATCGACTACTGGTCCTCTTGGCGAGCTTGTTCCCCAGACGAACGGTCTCTCGGCATTGGAGCCCTTCTGGTAGTAGCACATCTCGTCCGGATGTGTACATGTTCAAAAGGGTGAAGGTAGAACCTGACAACATCAGTTCTTTCGAGTTAGCAAACATATATATTCCTTCGAAGTCGACGATCTAAGGGCTTTGATTTTAGGATGTAGGGTTTCGATGTACCGGGCAGATACATCAGGCAAACTCGGTGGTTCAAGACCAACTCGGGGTTTAGGGTTGTTAGGGTTGTTGTTGTTTTACGGGCTTTAGGGTTTTAGCGTTTATAGGGCTGTTTCTTACGGGTGATAGGGTTTCAGGGTTCGAACTGCCCTAAGGGTTTTAAGGTGTTTTGGGCTTTAGGGTTTTAGGGTTTATAGGGTTGTTTCTTTCTTAAGAGTGATAGGGTTTCAGGGTTCGAACTGCCCCAAGGGTTTTGGGGTGTTTTGGGCTTCGGGTTTTGCGGGTGTTCGGGTTAAGTTAAAGGTTGAGTGGGCGTCTTGTTCTGCCGCCAAACGAGCAGTTCGCCATAGTTCGCCACAGCAGAACCCTTGGCCCTATACGCACCGAAGACACCCCCCCAAACGCCCGAGGCCCTGACTCCAAAGCCCAATAAACAACAAACCCCAAACCCTCAGCCCCCAACCGTAGGATCCAAAACCACAAGCCCCAAAAACCTAGGCCCAAACCCTATACCCCCAAACTCTATAGGCTTCAGACTACTCCCACCAAACGTGGCCCCGTGGCACACTGGGGCCAAAATCATCAGCGCTCCGGCGCGAAGTCGCCTCAAATATGCCAAAGCTAGCCTCGGCGCCCCAGGACTATATATTCATTGGACATCCTACACTTTGGCCTCTCGCCATGACATTGTCTCGGTGTTGGGATAGGTCTTCGAGGCGAATGGGCTTGTGCAATTTGCTTCGGTCTGTTTTCTAGTTGTCCAGCGTTACGTGTGGGCTTTACCTCTCTATCTACCTAAATAAAGATCTGTATATATATATATACACATGTATATACATGTATATACATGTACACTTTACGTTATCTGTTTGTTATCTGTATGTACACAGACGTACATGCTCATGCATATATATATATATATATATATACGTATATGTATATAAACTATTGATTTAGTGTGTGTGTGTATCTAGCAGAAATAACTACATGATAAAGCTCTGTGAGTGCTTCCTACAGTAGGTTATATGGCATGAATTCCGATCGGAGTGGAGACGACCTAATAACGTGAGCCGGGTCACAAGAATCCCCAGGGTCTATCGAGATCGTTGGTCTGTGAGTACTCCACATCCATGGCTCTGGCCCGTAGGCCTCGACTCACCGCTTCCTGGTATATGACCTGAGACGACACCCGTGGCACCCCACTCCCAGAAAGTTTGTAACATGTCTACGGCTTTACATAAGGCTTTTGGTGTAAAGTTGCTCATTGGGGACCACGGGGCTTCGACTTCGGATGAATGCAACCAAGCAACTCCCGCTCCCGCGAATAGCTCTAACACATCGAGATTCCCGGAGCGGCGCTCCTTAGGTAAGCGTTTGTGCTCATATAGAACACCGAAAGTTAGTGGCAGACGCTTTCATGTAATAAGCAAAGACAAGTAACCATCCCGCTCATGAAGCACATCAAGAAAAGTATGGCCACCAAAGCCCTGGGCCTCAGTTCCATACAGGGGCACACATTTACCCAAGCCAAAGCTACGACAGATTGACAAGCTCAGCCCTAGACACACCATTTTTCAGGAGATTGTTGACCAGGGGTCGCGGTCCATTCGTCATCGGGCCCACAACGCACAAAGTGAAACAAATCTGTAGAACAGCAGGCACGTGTAAGTTACACACACGCAGCCCTTCACACATATTTAGAGATGTCCAAGGCCACTGCATGTTACTGCTCGCTGTGCTACTACCTAAAATGAGGTGCAGCCGTAGCAACGAGTAGATGCAATGGCACATGCAATCATGCAAGCGAATCACTCACCTACCGAGTCACTTATTTCTTCCCCTCACGATTGGTCTTCAGGCGTTTGAGATCCCCTGGAACACAATCCTACAAGAATAATTAGTCTGGCGCTGGGCACTCCAAAGGTGCAGATGCCAGTTGCAAGAAAGACCGACGTGCATGCGTATACACACGCACACACACGCACGAAGTGCACATTCATATGTGCATGCCGACATGCACGCAGCATGTCGAGAAAAGCCCCTGCCCTGTGTCGCATAGAAACCCAACATGTACACATCACACACTCCACAGATTACGTGGCAGCGGTAGCCTTGCGCCTACAGGCGCCGCTTCTTCCTCTCAGACTCCGTCATCTGGCCCACCAAGACCCTCGGGCGAAGAATGGCTTATTTATTTTTGGGGTGTTAAAGGGTTGTCGTGTCGGGGTGTTATTGTTGACGGGAGCAGCACATATTAAATCTATAGGGCTACTGCGTGGTCTCACATAGGGCATTGAGCTATATTGCTTGCGCCAAGCATCTCGCGGATAACCGAACATTTCCAGAGCTCGTTGGCTTCCTGAGTTGCGCAAAAGCAGCTTGAACCGTTAACCATCATGTCCCATGCTCGTGCCGTGCAAAACATCGTAAGTACATGCCAAAAGGCCTTCTGCGTCTTGCCATAATCGTGCTTTGCCGACCTACACGATGACACCACGGCATACTGTGTGGAGTCAGCCAAAACAAACATGAGCAACAAGGACTGTGACACGAGCCTGAGGAATGCCTGGTACGCCACCCACAGTGGTCCGTTGTCTTGCTGTCTCTTCTTCTTAGCTTTGCCTGCCTCAAAAATGTCATTCAGGTAGCGTTTAACACAAAGTGCAAACAAAGGCATAACCGATCTTTGTCCTCGTCAGTTGGCTTCTTCCCAGTAACTCGACCTTTGTTCAATACTTCGTAGCCAGTAGACGAAGTACTATGTAAGTTGCAGACAGGACACGCTTGGGTGCATTCGGCTCGTGAGCCTCATCCTCACCATCACCACCTCCATATAAACGCACAATCCCGTGCAGCTGCTCCTGCCTGTAAGACTTGAAATATCATCCAAGGAGCGCTCGTCCTCCGGTGCTTCCCCGTCGTCATCTTCTTCCCCGTCGTGATCTTCGTCACGACCTTCCTCGCGAGAACCTTCCGGCTATACTTGGACTGTATAGGGACTTGTAGTCCCCAAATATATGAATAAGATTTGTAGCTGCTGGATTTCAACATATCTTAGAAGCTGCCCCCACCCTGTAATAGTGACCATAAGGATTATGTAGGATTATATTAGGGCCCTATTATACTCCTATTATACCACTATTACAGGGTGGGGGCAGCTCCTAAAACATATCCAACACCAACACCCTAAAGTCCCAGACCCAGTTTATACTTAAAACAACTTTTAATCACGGAACCCGAAACCCTCAGCCCAGGTCGTCTGAAGTGCTACAGCACGGAGGTCTCAAAGCCGAAGTTGCCAAAACCCTTCTAATTATCCGACACCCAGAACCCTATAGAATCTTGTATCCAAATTACTACTATAAGGCCTCCAACATGCAATCCTTACATCCAACGTAGTAATCCTTGGATTCGACTCAGGTTCTTTATTATTCAAGGGTGCTATAGAAGTTAAAGAAGGGCTTTTGAGGGTTGCAGCATTAGGGCTTAAGGTTTGGGAGCAGCGCCCGATGTCCGTCGCCTATGGTGCCCAAGGCTTCTAGAGTTTAGGGCCTTTAAGGTTTCGAGTGGTTAGGTTGCGGGTTCCCAGAGACTCCAATCTCCCTTAATTACGGAATATTTAAATCATATTAGGGATTCAATCATAGTTTAAGGAATATTCCTTAATTGAGGGGTATTGGCGTCTCTGGGTTTAGGGTTAGGGCTTCGGGTTTAAGACGTATTGCTGACTCTGGGATCCCTGGGCCCAAGGCTTGCAGTGCCTCGAATCACATAGTGCCAAAGTCGGAAACTCCAGAAGCCCCTTACCCTAAACCTTAAACCCTTTACCCGACCTGCTGCCCGTGAACCCGCTTTCCAAAAAAATACAAAGCTTCTGAGCAGCGGAAGCCCTCCAAACCCAAAGCCCGAAAACTTCAATCCTCGAACATCCCTGAACACCTAGCGTAACAGTCACACCTTGATCGAAGCCATGCAACCTCATAAAGCCTTTTGTAAAGCCTTGTGCGACCTATAGAGACCCTAATAAAGAACTTCAACTCACTAATCTCGAAAATCCCAAACCATAGTCGAGCTAAGCACAAAAATAAGGTTCCTGATTCGCCTACAGCCACGACGAATCGTCGTGAATCCTTGCCAGCCGTGAATCAAAAAATCCGACACAGCAGCCCAGGCATATAAGTACATTAAAATCGTGGTGTGTGTTCGGAGAACACAGACAAATCGTCTAGTACAGTAGTTGAACCTATGGTATGATCTAGGGCACTCCGGATAGCGGCGCCTTCTGCAGAATCAGGAGCAGGAGCATCAGGCTGCAGGGCCGCTGCAGCAGCATCATCATCTGCTCCTGTTTGCAAGTGTCATTGTCGTGTAACAAAGTGGTTGTTAAATTTGGTAGCAAGCAATTAAGGGACATGTATAACAGCTGGGGCGCCCTTTGGCATTGCTTTCTTCTCCGAAACGAGCTGCTTGAATTTTTTCTTGTATTGCATGGTGGGGTCCACTGTGATGTCTTGAACAACAATCCCAGCCATGACATCTGCCAAGCAAGACGGCGGGCTTACGGCTGGAACCATCGGTCCTGGCCAGGGCAGAGTATCCAGGTTGTCAGGGTTCGGGCAAGCCGTTGTTCCTGACGACAGGTTGCATGCAATAGCCAGTAAATCACACGCCGTATGCACACACACACACACACACTCGTATG